AAATTAAAAATTTATCTTATTAAATATTGATATTTAAATTTAAAAATAAATTATATATTTTAATAGAATCAGTTTTTAAATTTAAATATCAATATTTAATAAGATAAATTTTTAAATTTTAAATTAAATTTTAATTAAATTAAATTAATATTAAAATTTTAATTTATTTTAAGATATAAAATTGATACACACTTTTTTGCGTATAATATTTTTATTTTAATGCATGTTTTTTTCCATAAAATATTTTAAGGAATTGTACAATTATTGTTTTTTATATGATACAATTATTATTTTATTTTACATATATTTTATATAATTTTAACAAAAAAATTAAATTAAAAAAATTTAGAAAATAAAAACCCGAGCGATTGGATTTTGAATCCAGCGGCTTGATGAGATGCTGTCACGGGCATGTCAGTATGTTAGACTGGTCAAAACGATCTAATTTTAGCAGCCCCAAAAAGATTTCCCTAATCTGTCTCCGTGTAAAAAAAGTAAAATTTGATTTTTCAAAATGCTACAGTACACAAAAAGTTAAAGCTTTGTTCCCTTCTCGGTCAAGAAAAACGAAGCGAGCAAGCGATTGTCCATGCTCTTAGGATGACAAAATTTTTTTTTATTCCTTCAAAAATAATTAATAATTGTAATGTATTTGTTTAATATTTATTTTTTTTTTTTGATCAAGTAGATGGTTAGGAAATTACTAGAATTAGTTTGTTAGCAGCTGAAATTTTTTCAGGATAGTGAACGTTCCAGCCCCTCATATGAGGCGTGCGATCATTAGGTCGTAAGTTGGTAGAGTTCACGACGGTAGCAGAGCACGAAACCCTAACCTCCGCCTCACCCAAGCCCTAAAACTTGGATACCAACCAATTGGGCCACAGGGCCAGTTTGCTGTTTAATATTTATAATTAATGTGTTTTTAAATTAATTTTTACATGCTTTAAGATTATTTTATTTTATTGTTTATTGTTTTGGTTTTTTATAATTGATTATGATTAGTAAAATAGTTAATATTTTTTATTTAACAAAATAAAATTAACTTATAAATTATTATTTTTAAAAGTTATAACTAATTATTTAAAAAAAACTATAAATTAATAAAATCAATTAAATCAAGTACATTTACCATATTATTTGTGACCTTAACAAAAGGTCATGTAACAGTAACTAAGTTCTTTATGAGTTATTTAGCCAGGTTTTTAAACTTTTCTAAACTTTCTTTTTTATAAAATTATTTATATATTTTTATACATAAGTGTTACAATAAAAGAAGGTAAAATTAACATTTTTAACCTTCATTTTTCTTGATATAATTCTAAACTCTTTTAAAAAAATTTTCCCCGCACATTTTTAAGAAAAAAAATTTTCCTCCAACTGTCCATACATATGACCTATTTAACAACGTTCCCTATAGCATTTTTTTACTAAACAAATAAAAGTTATAAACCTAACAAAATTTTTATATAATTTCATTACAAAACTTATTAACTTTTTGTATAGTAATTTACTAATTATTTTTCCAATAAAAACTACCTTTTACTCTTTAACTAAATAGGCTCTTAAAGCTATGGTTTGGCACCATTGAAGAGGTGTGATTGACTGATTGAATCACTCCAAATCACAGAGCTTAAGTCAAAACTTGTTTAATTTCTAGTAACTTACATAATTTAGAAGGCAATTTGTGTTAGCGTTCACATCTTAGTAGAGTTAAAAGAAGTGTATTAGATCTCACATCAATAAAAAGTAAGATGTTAAATTGCAGTATATACACGGAGTGCTATTAACCGCTCCCTAACAATTTGATGGGCGAGGCAAAATTGGTTTCTATTTAAGGATTCTAGTTGATGTTTGTTAGATACTTGTGATTGTGCATTATTATTATTTTGTATTTATAGTTAGAGTGTTGTAAAGGTGCATCTTCACATTAATTTGATACATTTAAAAAACTTAATACATTTGAACTTTTGATATAATTTACAAAATGATACTTATTTATCAGTAAATCTAATCACTGAATGGAGCGATACTTAATAAATGAATCAAATAAGTGGAGAGAGGGAGATTCATAGATATTACTTAGCCACCAAAGTTAATTTCTGAATGGTGTGGGTTTGTTTCTTAAGATGGTTATACAAGATGATGCTATTAATATTATTTTCCCCTAAAGTTGTGACTATTATCATATTTGAAAGGAGGGTAATGGGTTATGGCCTTGTGAATTTGATACATTCATTTGTACCGTTCAGATGAAGCAACATTTCTTTCTTGTCTTCTAACAACTTTTGTGTCTTTTAGCAGGTACTGGTAACTCATTCTCTACTTCATGTTCAATTTATTCCGTATTTGGCCTGTCTTTTATCTCAGCTGATGAGAATACCTAATCTTCCCTGATGCTTTAACAGACCCACTTTATACTTCATTCCACGATGAAAAATGGCGAGTTCTAGTTCCAGTTCATCATGACAAGAAGTTCTTCGAGCTACTTGTTTTTTCACTAGCATTCTCAGAACTTAGCTGCTCTGCAATACTCAGTAGGGGCTTCCCACGTTCATACAAGTGGCCGTGACCCAGGAGGATTGTTAACGATGATCTATATATAGCAGATTGCTTCAGATAAACCGTAAATGAGCTGCAAATGCCAAAAATGAGAATAAAGCCCAAGATTGAGGAGACAGACAATAGATTTCCTACCCTTTTAGCTACAAATATAAAGTTTCATTCTTAATCTCTATACATCGATATAAAAACAAACCAACCGCAACAACTTAATTGCAGATCTTGGGCACATTTGAGCTGAGGTGCCGGAGACTTCTAATCTTTTATTGGCACCTTCCATAAAACACTGATGAAAATAACTAATTTATTTCTCTTTTTATTCATCCCAGTAAATGCTAATGCGTTCAATGGGAACTAAACCAAGTGTTATGGCTTCAAATCCAGAGTCAGCTCAGCGCCCTCCATTCCTCCACCACCCGACAGATCGATTCATGCGACGACCCTCTGGCACTCAGTGCTTTTGCGGCAGTTTCCTTCAGTTCCCTAACCCGACGCCTTATTTCATCCCCTTCATCACCCTCCATCACCATTCTCACCACTCTCGCTATCTCTTCCCGTCCCACCACCGTCTGGCCCGCCTTCACCTCAGGTTTGACGGCTACTCCAATATCCTCCGCTAGCACCGTTGCGTTCATTTTTTGCTCCGCGTAGAGAGGCCACGCGATAATTGGCACGCCGTGAACTATACTCTCCAATGTTGAATTCCATCCACAATGACATATGAACCCGCCTGTTGACGGGTGGCGGAGCACGGCCACTTGGGAAGCCCACGACGGTACCACCACTCCCACTCCCCTTGTCTTCTCAAGGAACCCTTCGGGAAGATACTCCTCTGGGTTATTAGCATCACTTCCCACATTGAAAAACGTACCTGAACCAATAAGAAGAACTCAGCGGGCTCAAATTTTATTAATTACAAAAAATATATACATCTGCAAATTCTAAATTTGTATATGTTTGAATTTAAATATTTTACTAAAAAATAAAATAATGTATTTTATAAATAAAA